GATACGATACCTGACAGTATGACTTTTAGTACTTTTTTTTACAAACGATACAGCGCTTTTGCGATGATTTATACACCCCCCCCCCCTCCCCCCCAACGCTGGCGCTACTGCCGTTTCGACTCTAGGGACATCAACTAAATACCAGTTCACGCCATGCTTAAGACCGGAAGAGACTTCAGCTCCGCTGGTGCTGGTAGACAGTGTTGGGCGGTAACGAAGTAAAAGTAACGCGTTACAGTTACTAATTACTTTTTTCAGTAACTTTTTTGGTAACGAGTTACTTTTCAGGGAATGGTAACGGAACTGGTAACTAGTTCCTTTTCCATGGGAAAAGTATGTGGCGTTACTGTATCGCGTTCCTTTTCTTGATTAGTAACTGATTTTCCTGAAAACATCCATCGCTTCATGACAACATGCGTCCTAATTAATGCGAAATGGGGAGGAAAGGCGGGGACACGAGATTGCCCTGAGAAAGCACGGCTTTTTCAGCGCAGGTTTCTTGGCCGTACCTACAAAAAAATATTTTCTTTCCTTCCCACGAACATCCAATATGAGAAAGCACGTCCAGATGAGCTCCATCGTGTCCTGACCCCATCCAGACAACCTTCGGTGAAACGTTGGGTCTTCGCGATCGGCGTTGGATCTGAGAGCACATCTGCACGAAAACCTCTCGCATGCCCAAAACTGGTACCTCTCTTCAATTTCGTCCGATTAGCTTTCAAGTGCCCCGTTCCATCACCCTCTCAACAATCAGCAGACTCCGTTAATACTTGGAAGTGCGAGTGCCAGGCCCAAGTGTGGAACCTAACTGAACATGGAGTAATTTGCGAGTGAATTTTGCACCAATTGTAACAAGAACACCAGTGGCGGCTCTTGATATTAAATATCACGAGCCGCCACTAAAGAACACCTCAGACAATAGTCCCCTTATTTCATGGTCGGAACACCCTCGTCTCCTTGATTGCGTCTTGACAGGTCCTAATGCTTACATGTTGGCCTACGTATGGGCTGACTCTTGTTACCTTAGGTCTAATCGTTCTATTATTTTTCGAACACCCCTCGTAATTACTAACATATTACAGAAACATTATTGAAAATGTCCACCCCTGGCCTTCACACATGATTTTAAACGATCAGACCACTCATCCATCGCAGTACGCACCACTTCCATTGGATATTGGCTGCTGATTTTGCAAGGGCTCCCTTGAGACTTTCAATATATGGATGCCTTCTGTGGTTGATCATCAGTTCCAACTCTGCCCACAGTTTGTTGCCCAGTGGGTTCCAAGATGGCCAATCGGAGGCCTTGATGAACTTGGGGACATTGCTGGCTAGCCACTTCTGCGTCGTCCTAACCTTGTTAGCAGGTTCGGAGTCTTGAAGGAAGATCCAGTTGCCCCCATTGAACATTGTTTAGCTGAGAGGCTTCACTGACTTCTTTAAGACTTATTCCTGGTACACTTTGGCTGATGTCTTCACTTCTTGCTTGCAGAAATGCTTGGTGACACCCTCATAAAACACCCCCCCCCACCCCCCCTCCCCAAACCTTGACAGAAGCAGTATGGTGACCTCTCTCCACCTTATGGATGACTTCTGCAGCTTTCCAAGAATTGTGGGCATACACTTGGCCATTCTGCCAGTTAAATTTTTCTTCAACAGGAAGATTTTCTCATCAGTAAAGACAATTTCATGGTGTCTGTTTTGCGCGTACCTCTGCAGCAGCACTTTCGATCGCGACCTCCTGATTTCTTTCGGAGATGGAGTCAGCATGTGTCCTGTGCTTCTTCGGTAAGCACACATCCTTAGGTCTGATTTAATCAACCGATACGTGCTTCTAGTCGAGATGGCCATTTCCCTGGACATCACTTTCTGCTTGCGTGGAGGATTTCGCTGAATCCTGTTGCTAACTTCTTTGATGACTCGTGGTGTTCTGGCAGTGGGTGGACGTCCAGATCTAGGGCGGTCTCGTACTCCCTGAGTATCATTGTAACGTTTGATAGCACGATAAACAAACTGCCGACTGATTCCAAGTGGCTGCAAAGTCTTGAAATTAGTGTAGGTTTTTGACCCACTTTGTGCAGGGCAATCATTGCTATGCGATTCTCTTTGTCACCCCACTCCATGCACGCAACACAACAGCCAAAATGTTACCAAACAATACGGCAGATAATACATTGCACGATTACTAGGTTACAAGTTTCTAGCTTCTTTCGCTAGAATGCAAGGAACATGTAAATCTTGTAACAGTATTTATGGCAGAACTAGGTACATTGTAAACAAGTTAGTGAAAATTCATTTTTAATCACTGTATTGGATTTGTGCAGTCTGTGTCTGGTAAACAAGAGAAAAATGACCAAAAATTTTTCTGTTTGGCAAAATCGGCATTTTTTTAAAACTGACTTTCTTTTTTTAAAACTTTTCTGACTGTCAACACATAATTCCTGTTACATAGCCTATGGGAAGGGAAGAGGTACAGGTACAGGGAAAAGAGTGAGGCATGAGCATTTATCCAGTTCGATGATGATCATGATTCAATTTGTCATGAAATCAGTGGTAACTTTCACTTTCAGCGCGTGCGTCCAGCTTCTGTCAAAGAAATGGAGAAGCTATAAAAAATATATATATCAGAATATTCGCTTGGGAAATGTAACTATAAAAGTAACGTCTACTCGTAACTAGTTACTTTTGGTGAGAAGTAATTCAACTAGTAACTAATTACTTTTTGGATTGAATACTTGTAATTGTAACGCGTTATCTTTCACAAGTAACGCGCCCAACACTGCTGGTAGGCCCATAGAGAACAGCATCTTGCATCGAAAGGGTGACACACCTGACACATCTTTTTTTTTTGCCTCTAAATTCCTGCGGCAATGGTGGCCTTGAGACACACCAGATCCTTCCGGACCGATCTGGTCGGTTTCCAGCAATCGTGAGGATTTTTGTTCCAGTTTCTCTCGGCGCAGTCCTCGGAACGCTTTATCTTGATAGTCATCCATGCTCCAGAGATAAAGTCTCCAGCCTCCTTAACATCACGAAACGTGATTGTTCCAATGCGATCAAGAGAACGTACCTTTTCACTATCATAAATAGCCAACTGTAAAAAAAAGGAGGATGATTTTAGGCTCGAAATTGAATGCATTTTCCAATAATGTTCTTTTTTTTTTGCTTACTTATAATATGTTTTGGCCTGGCCGTGGGGAGGGGAGGCTATCTATCTGGGTCGTCCTAATCAAGAAGCATTTTATGGAGCAGGCAATATGCCTCTTCTGTAGAATCGCTTTCATGATGTGACACTTCTGACTTTGTTGCGTGCAAGAAGTACACAAATTTCAGTCAATACAGAAGTACACACTTTGATCAAAACGTGTTAACGTGTACACGTACCTCAGCGAAATATATATAAAAAAAGAGTAATTGAAATGATTGACTTGCTAATGACAGTTCAAAACAAACCAGATTCAGATTCAGAGGTCCTGGCTTTCCTATTTCATATTTCGTATCATATTTCGAGGTCATGAACAAGCCTTTACATGTCCACGACCTCTAATGGATGTCCGAGGTCAAAAGTTAGGGATAAAAAAAAAAGGTGCGGTAAAGTATTTGAGCAGTATGAACGTTATCTGGCGGTTACTCGAGCGAACAAGAGTCCCAGAACCGAATGAGATGGCGCATAAATCGCTACTTTAGGTATTAATTTCCTTATGTTAGGAATTAAATCCTTCTTACTTTTCATGCAGTACTTGATTTTTCCCCGCGCACCGCATCGAAATCTCTCAACACTCTTACCTAAAGCTCGCAACTCGGTTCTTAGGGATTCCGAGCAATTCTGGCTCAGAGTTTGTCGGACGGATGATCCAACCAGAGACTTCGTCTTCACACCGTCGAAGGATTTCGATGTCTTCCCCCCCCGACTGCGGGGCCGAATAGTGTGCCGTGTGGGACTCGGGATTTTCTTGCGGTTGTGTCGAGGAATGGCTCGCTGCAGCGGCGACTTATGTGTCATCTCACTCGGTTGTGGGAGTCTTGGTTATTTGAATGACTTGGTTATTTGATGGCGAAGAATATAATTAAGTGTTGACATCTCGATGGAATGCTCTGAGTCTGTCGATGAAAACAGTTCTGGATTGGTTCTGTTACCAGTAAATCAACTAATAAAAAAGCTATCATTTCTGGTATACATCTGGTGTCGGGTTTTGGAGGTGCATAGGCAAAATTTATTGCTTATTAGTTTACATTTATTTATTCAAGACCTGGACTCTGACCTACTTGTTGAAATGAGTGAAGACATGATAGAAATCGAATTGGAAATTTAGAGCTCCATGAAAAGTTTTTGCGAAATTGGAAAATTACGCCAATCGAACTTGTGATTTGTTGGGTGCTCCTGTTTTAGGAACAGATGCTCCTAAAACAAGCTTTAATATTGACAAGCAAAACTGCAAAATATCCTTTAGAGTTCGAAAGGTGAAAATTAATAAGCTCTCTGAGAACTGGCAGCATTCAGGGAGTCTCCGTCTGGTTCCTATACATCAGCGTATAGCCATTTTCCTCTGTTGAGGTTTCACTCGTGAAGCCACAAGCTCAATTCGTCGTATCTCTCTCCCTCGGCGACATTTAATCATGGTGATGCACTTCTCGAGACGTGATCTTAGCAGTGACAGTCGAACATTGCCTTCAGTAACGCCCCGCAATCGTGAATAGAAAGCCAAGTTAAATCGCCATTCTTGCTAGATCCGCAGAACCGAGTTCCAACATTTGCCGCAGAACACGTCCCGCAGAAACATGCATTAGCCTCAAAAGCGTCAGTAGGGTCACAAACCATGTTCGCCCCTTAAGAAATATTGTTGCATCGGCTTGGTTCGTCAGAAGTCGTTTCTTTACCTGCTGCTTTCGTCATTTAATGGCATTCATATTACCCTTCGTCTAATCCACAGGTTTTGCTTATGGGTTTCCATCGTATTCCACTCAAAAAACTACGAGGAGTGTTTGAAAAGTAAGGCCTGTTTGGGTATAACTTTTTTATTTCAAATCCTACAAAAATAAAAGTTGGCACATTCATAAAGGTGACAGAGGAACAATTGTCTGCATTTCGGAGTAATTTCTATTTCCAGCAACACATTGGCGCCTCCTCTCAACCCAACGTTCAAATACTTTTTTTTAAATTCATATGTTTTCTTCAACCACTCCATCGCATTCAAATAACCCTCTTAACACAGCGGGTCGATATGTCGGACTCGATGCTCGTCCCTAAATCCATTTGAATCGTTTGGCCACTATAGTTTGCGCTAGTGTTCGTCTAATTAAATCTTCCGTGATATTGACTACAGTAGCCAAATTCAGTCCGTATAAAAAGGGTTAAGGTTACTCCCTTAATTTCATCCGCACCATCAAATCGTCCTCCATGCAAACCATCCTTCATTGGTTCAAACAAGGGAACAAGTACAAACATTACTTGAAGCGATTGTTTCTTCATCAAACACATATTTCAACCGTTTATGAATGTCCACACTTAAACAGCCTTCCTTCACCAAATATTAATTTGCAGCTCTTTAAGTTTAGTTTCCATTTGAAAATATAATGCACTGGAACCAAATATGCAAGGATGAAAGAACCCATCCCTAATTTACATTCCCCCTATTTTCGTTTACCGACTACTTTATACTTCATATAGGCAAACAGGCATTACTTTCCAAACACCCCTCGTATCATGCTTGACCCCAAAAGGAGATATTCTACAATTCCCCATCATGTCTAAGAATTCCATGCATTGTTCATGGTGACACACACATTTTCTAAGTAATGTTCACTGCTGCACTAAACTTAGGGCTAAAATTAGGGCCAGGACATTATCAACTCCTCGGTGATTCCCGGATACGGTCAGGATTTTGAGACTTGGCTCTGAAAACTTCTAAGCTGTTCTGCTACAGGGATAACTAGAGAGGAAACATTTCTTTCAATTGCAGTTCTTACTCAATGCAACACCTTTCTCATCCTTGACGCATTTGACGCATCTTCGTGAGTGTGGGAAAACCAGCTAAAATGTATTAATTATACCAAAGGAGCAAATCCTTTTATTACATCACAGAATATCGGACCGGATGAGCTTCAAGGTAAACAGGAAAAAAAAAGTACAAATGTGTGCCCACCGATGTACTTGTTGAGAGGAAGCGACGATAAACCTGACTAGATCCATGTTAATGGAAATTTCACAAATGACATCCCCATCATTCAACCGAATGAATTCCCTCACTCCACTTGATAAAACATCCGCGAATGGAATCCGTCAATAACCGAATATATGGCTCAGGACCGATCGAATTTCATTCCCCGTCGGACACCACTCCAGTGGCATTCGGACCGAACTTGTAAATCAGCCTTCTCCCCAACACTGGCTGAAGAACTTTTCGCTTGTAGTAGTACCTGCAATGCCAAAAAGGAAAGACTAAGCATGAAAAACACGTCTTTCAGTTAAGCAAAAGTGCATTTTTCATAGTGACTCTGAAAAGCTTTTTCAAGAAAAGGCGGAGCTCAAAATTGAAGTCGAAATGGAAACCTCAGGAAAAGGGGACTGAAATTAAGCATGACTGCCACAGATAGTTCCAAGTGTGTTTCTTGGACCGCACGAAGGACTTGACACAACGACCAGTCTTCAACGATCATGCACAGCCTTCTCAAGGTTCAACAGATAGCAAGGAGTTCTAAGCATGAAAAACACGTCTTTCAGTTAAGCAAAAGTGCATTTTTCATAGTGACTCTGAAAAGCTTTTTCAAGAAAAGGCGGAGCTCAAAATTGAAGTCGAAATGGAAACCTCAGGAAAAGGGGACGTTCAAGTGCATCAGAAGGCCTTATTCGGCCCTTTTCAAGCCCCTGATAGCTCATAATGACGTCTGACCAGATCCCGCTTCCTTTAACTGTTATTTAACACTTCAGCTCAATAGAAATTAAGCATGACTGCCACAGATAGTTCCAAGTGTGTTTCTTGGACCGCACGAAGGACTTGACACAACGACCAGTCTTCAACGATCATGCACAGCCTTCTCAAGGTTCAACAGATAGCAAGGAGTTAGGGAGATAAAAATCTCACAAAAATTATACCTAATTTCACACGAAAATAAAATTATTGCAAAGAGCAGAATGGATGAATTTAAAATTTTCAACAACTACAAAGCTTTTCTCGCGTTGAAATTGCATGATTATGATCTGTAACGAAGATTGGAGAAGGGGGAGAGATGAACTTCCAGCTAGCATTCATCATAGCGAAGGACGGTTCAAGTAGAAGCGAAGTCATATAGCATATCAAATGCGCTGGATGGAATTAAGCAAGAGGGATCGCCTTCTTAGCTCAGCCCATTCTTCCCGCCACATGAAAACTTTCAAGAACCGTCTTAGAATGATGGTTCGAAAACCAAAAGAATATGGTAGATCGGTGACGGGTAAACATACAATGGGAGAAAATTCTACTTACTGAGAATAATGAACACAAATGAAGGGCAAGATACTTTTTGCCGGAGAAAAAAAAAAGGAGAAAAAACGCTCCTGAATCATGATTTACTGCATTACCTCATGAGCCGGCTCATCTTGTCATAGGTCATGCCGGTGTTGTCCCGATATTGGCCCCAGAGATTAGCCATTTTGTGGCTGTTCACTATGCGGAACGTCAACTCCCGTCGATTTTCCCACTTCACGATGTCCGTGTTCCCTGGCTCGAGGATGAGATCTCGAATGAACTCCCAGAGATGCTTCCTCTTGGGTCCGTCCCGTCCCCTCCTCCTCGGCTTACACACATTCTCCTCGCGATTCTCTTCTTCCATGTTCACTTCCTCTTCTCCTTCCCCATCTACTTCTCCATCCACTTGTTCTTCTGACAGACTCGGATCACTGCTGCAGTTGTCACTGTCCACATCTGCAAACATTCAATTAAGTTAATCGTAAGTACATGTACTTAAATCTTCTTTTGGTCATTGCCAGCACTCATTGGCAAAACCATGACAAAAAAAATGCAAATGAGTCAGCATTTGCCTTTTCTTTTGCCAGTTTCCCACAGGAGGATTTTTCTTTGTTCCCCAATTGGATACGAGGGTCTCAGTCTGACATCGATTCTTCCTGTAAAATCTGTGTAAGGGACATAAGTCCATTATTGTTGCGTTCTAACAAATGGCACAAATGAAAAAATAAATATAATGTATTTTGGCGCATATATTGTACTGGTCCATAGGGTGGCCGAAACTAGAGCATGCTGCGAGATCCTCAAATGATTATACTTCAATACGCTAAATTGGGACTTCATCTTATCATCTCAGTGATCAAAATTCAATCATTTCCTGAATCTCAACCAACAGTTTTCACTTTTTTTTTACATATTATTTTAGATTTAAACATGAATCCAGGAAGACCTAGAAGTGATTGTATTAGAGTGACTTTTTCACAGATTGCTTATATTGCATTGCTTATTGTGTAGTATATTAACAGCAAAAAAAAAACTTACCCCCTAAGATGAAACCCAGCTTCAAAATTTCATGGAGGCATCACCGTCGGCACCACCGTAGGGTATTCATGAAGTTGGGCATTATAGAGAAATGGCTAACTTCGTTTATTTCCTGTTCCTGGTTTTAGTGGCAAAACATACTGAAACGATACCCTGATCAGTCCCCACTTCATTTCTTTTAAATATTGGAACGAACTAAAAGTACAGTATTTCAGGTTCAGCCACACATCATTCCAGGCTGTGAAAGTTTTCTGCAATCTGATGCAAAATCCCTCGACGAATTCAAGCAAATGTCCATGATGAAGGGTGTGATAGGTCACTGGTCAATGACTAGGTCATTGCTTCGACATGAACGGTGTCTATTTTGAACATTTAACGAAATGAAGTAGTGGATTTTCCTTTGATGCATTACTTTCTGAACACCCTGAATAAAACGTGAAACATTGGCTGTGCAATATCAAATGTGACATATTGTACAAGCTCTACGTGTTGTACGTATTGCTCATGCCCAAATTTACAGGAGATGAAAACACAAAGAAATGAAGGCATCACATCCACCAAGAGATGGAGTGATCTGCACGGTACATCTCTACACCAATTTTCCCCTTGCTTTTGGGATGGATAGGGAAATGAAAGCAAGTCCTACCGCTTTCATTGCCTTCATCCGTGTCTTCATGAAGGGGAATTCGGGGACGAGAAGCTGCTCTTTCGCATTCTTCTCCTCCATTTTCCACTTTCACCACAACTCCTCCTCCTCCTCCACCCACTGTTTAAAGAAGAGCAGTTGACATACTGTGCCATTTTCAACTCCTTGGATGCAGCGATTCCCTAATAGTTTCATATATATTGCATGTTGTCTGCAGTCTACATCATGGAGGGGCCATGAACGGGAAATAATGTTAAGAACCCGAATATGCCTCAAGCACCTCAATATTCAATAACACAAAAGCCTTGCATACCTGCAGGAAACATGTTCCCTGTCGACGTTCTCTGCATCCTCTGCTTTTTTTCCTGATTTACCCTTGTTCGTGTTGCTTCCTTTCCCTTGGGATCTGACGAAGGTCATGTAGGAAACACAAAAACCTCATCCTGCTATCACTCTCCTGCACAATAGAGCGGTATTGAGTCTCTGACTGACATGTATCAAGATCTATTGCAGGGAGCACCTATTTCTCCTCCTCTCATTTTAGATGCACGTTTGGGATCGATGGTGTCTTGATCAAAAGTGGGTTGGGGACTTCACAAGTAGGGAAACGGTGAGATTAAAATCTCGGAAAAGCAACACGATTACCCCCATCATGATCAGCAATTCATAGGAGGATACTCTCGGAGTCACTAAAGAGCGAACGCACTGGACAAGAACGCATTGGAATGGCCGCCAGAGATCTCGAAATTGACAGTAAATTGAACTGCGTTCTTGATTAAAGCGAATACTAGGGAATGTATATAAGATTACTGTTAGTAACCAACCTTGTTGGTTGAAGTTTTCCGAAGGCCCAAAGACAAAATGCCTCGGCTGGTCGACGGATCGGGAATTTTCCTTCACTTTCCTCTCCTCCAGGTTTTGAAAGAGAAGGCGCCCATATTCGGGGTCTCGACGAAGGAATTCCTCTTCGTCCAGCGTTGCCAGCTGAGCCCCGGTGAGGCTGTTGAAGCCATACATTCGAATCTTCTTGTAGTCCACATTTCTTGTCATGGCCACTGCGAAGATCCAGTCAACGATGTCCTCCATCGTCCATTGGAGCAGGGGTTTCTCCTCCCATCTCCTCCCGATCTCTCCACCTATTGCAGTCGGAAAGTAGAATTAATCTCAATCCAAAGATCATAGTAACTGAGTGCATCCAGCAATTTCGTCTATGTTCTGTAATAGAGCGTTCGCCATTCGCTTTCAGATAAAAATAGGCATATCTCGTATTGCGGAAAGAATTCAATAAATCCTCCTTCGGTCGATGTATGTGGTTGAAAGAAAGTCTCGCAATAAAATGGATTACGTGGGCATGAGAAAACAAAGGCTTTCAAGATGTCTCATATCAGCTGCGGACCTACTGGAATGTCTAGGCCTACCGCGCACAGGAACGTGAAAAGGGTATATGACAGCGAGACTCCAACGTACCAGAACGATTTCAAAAGGACATTCAACGTTTCATCATGCGATGGAGGATTTTGGTAGGGAGCTCGATCTTATACGTACAAATACGATTAGCAAAAGCGCCAGAGTAAACTAGATTGCCGTTAAGGCGGTATGAGTTACTAAAAGGACCCTTGCCCTCACGGACTCCAGAATGGCATGGACGCCAACCAATCCCTTCGATATTCCTCTGTCGTTCCGTGAAACCACTCCGTGAAACTCCACCAGCCTTTCATATTGGTCCTTTGTTCCGCTATCCCTGTTGAATCACATTCAGCAACTATCCCTACAGGTCTTCGATGATAGATCTCTCAAGAGGCAGATGCCCAAGGGCGGGTCTGGCGGAAAAGTATAAGCCGGCATTTTAATTCAACAACCTACTATGTCCAATTTAATCTCATGATAATCGTAAACATCAATCGTCGTTGCGGTAAATGTTATTATTGCGATCAAATGGGGACGTCTGTGCTGCATTGCCGTCTTCCAATGCCGCGTAATTGCCAGACATAGCAACAACCAGCTTGCTAATTTGGCATTCTCTTCTCTCATGAATCGTGAGCAGTGCTGCCAGTGGTAGAAACCCCCAGAGAAAGACACAAAGAACCAGACCTAGCCCAGCTTTCACATATGAGGCTTCTGCGAGCAGGCATTCAATGGCAAAGAAATTCGAGTGTTTGGAAGGAGCAGATCTTAACCATTGAACCTGAAATTCTCATTTGCAATACTCGGACATCTCTTTATCCCCAAACGTGGAAGCATCACAAACATGTGAGATTGAAATCTTGCATTTTTTAATATCTTCTTGAGCGAGCTTCTTCAATCAACGTCATTGCAAGGACAACGGGAGAAATAAAAGATAGTCCAAAAGTTACTTGCCTCACAAATAAATTTATTTTGCTTAGATAACATTTGAGAAGCCCATATTTGCCATGTTTAACATACTTCTTGTGACATTCTGAAATGGAGATGCAAATCATCTGGCAAACTGCAATTTCGAAGTCTTTATTTACATGTACATACGAACACGTACGTATTAAACAAATGAAATTGAAAAAGGAACATACTGCTCCGGGTACAATAGCATTTGGACCACCCTGTATGGTTTAGCGACAAGTCACACAAAAAAGAGGGAAATCGCTAAGTTAAGTATCTGTAATTTGTACCCCCCAAGTTGCCATTAACACTCCCAGGCCCGAGTAGGGTAGTCTTTAGACCCTAATTCTTGATACCCCATACATTTTCTGCAATATCTCAGTGGAACTTTTTCCCTCGCGCTTCATCTCCCATATCCTCAAAAACATATAAACGGACACTACATAAGTATTGCAGAGGTTTGAAACTCTGAAATAAACTGAAATAGTTCGGATACCCCGCACGGGCTCCGTAAGTGCTGAATAGCAAGGGGGTGGGAAGATTAAATGATATTGGGAGGGGCGAGAAAGGTGCAGCCCCCTGAAGGATAGAGACCGGGATAACCAATGACTTTATTCTGGAATGATGTATTACTCGACGTTGACACAATGTTGTCATTCAATCATCAACTAATTGCTTGGGGAAAAAAAGTGCATTCGTTTAATTGGGAAATCCGGTTTCTCTCCTCTTAAAGGAACATCAATCTGTATTCTGTTGAGGAAAAATTCTCGTACTTGCCATTCCAAAGAATGGAGACCTCGGAGCCCTCGCAAATGAATAGACTTTAAAAAAAAGTAAAGTGGCATATACGGTAGAACGTGTATTTATAAATTATCTTAAATTAATAGTTCTAATTCCCATGGTTAACAGATCAAATCTTCTTTCGCATTTTTGCAATTCACCTCTAGTCTTTCCATGAAGGCATGTCTTGCAGGCTCATCGTGCCCTTCAAGCAAGATGAATAGGAAACATTTGGGGGGCTGAATGATGTGCCTGAATTTGTGTCGCTGACGTGAGTTTTCTTTCTTCATATTTGGATCTTCTTACTTACAGTACAATGTTAGTCAAAACCATAACCCATGAGAACCATCGCAAATGAGCTACTGACTCTCAGATCACTATTAACCCCGACAAAGGCAGGCAATACTTGCTTTGAGGTACTTGCAAAAAACATTTAAAACTTATTTAATATCAATACTTTAATGGTATTCTATATCTAAATACAAGATAAATGTACAGTATTTTGCAGTTAAAATCCCTTACTCTGAGAAAATGATTTTTTATAGTATTCGGTTGAAAACACCTAATACGATCTTCGTCCCTCACAGCTACGTCTCTTATTTTCAATTAATTAACTGTGAAGCATACGCGGAACCAACAAGTCCCTACTTACGAAAGGGTCCCTCTACAAGGCGGCAACTCGGAATAACGTGCGACGTCAGCAAGCAAAACCTTTTCCTCCAAGGAGCATGAGCTTGCTTCCGTGCGAGAAGAAAATAATCTCGAGTCGCTTTCTCCAACATTAAAAGCGATGAATCAGGGCTCTGTTACCTGAAGAGCCAAAAGCTCAGTGGAAGACACTTTACAGGAACGCACGAAATGCGGAAAGTGGATACTTGCATCTCTAACATCAACTTCGGGTCTGCGTTTCTGTAAGGACCACGACATGGATGCAATCGAAGGCAACTGCTATTTCCAGCGTAAACGACTAACCTCACTTCCAAACCAATATCATTCATCCAAAGCGATTCCAAGAAAGTTCGAAGGCTCAGAGAAGTCTGTTTCGAAATTATTTCAAATTAGCGAATTTGTTTGCTCTTCGGGCAAAGAAGCTCACTATGGTCATGCCTTCGGCGCTCCATTATCTAGGACTGTGATTAAATCATTAATTCATTTTCGTTTTAGCAAAAACTTACCGAGATTTTTATTATTATCGAAGTCATTACTCAGATGATTTCTTGTGTGCCTAACGTCAAATATCTTATGTGCCCCTTTTTGTCCAAGCGGAAAATGTATCTCGAAATATTTCTCAAGTAAGATTTTTCCTTTACTCAGCTATCAGGTACATCTGCGCCAAGTTTCAACGTTCTATCGCTCTCTGTTTCGTTGGATCAAAAACGATTTGGAAAATGTGCTTCTTGCAAAAAAAAAGTGCCGTGAGGGGTTTTCCCTAAAAGTACAAATTTGACTGAAATTAGTACTCGGAGAACTACGTGTCCACCCAAGTTTCAACCTTATACGTTTGCCCTTTTCACTGGTGAAAAAATATGTTTGGAAAACCCGATCCACTCAAAAGCTATGCCCTGAGGGGATGCACCACAAAAGCTAAATTTTCCTGAACTCACCACATCATTTCAGTTATGCATGTGCCAAGTTTCACCTTTCTATTTCTTCCCAATTCGTTAGGACAGAAAAAAAAACTTTGAACACGTCGCCCCAAAAATATATGCCCCCAGGGGATGCATCTGGAACTTCACATTTTTCCTGAACTCATTGTCTCAGTAGGCACGTTCATGACAAGTTTAAGCTTTCCATGTCTCTCCGTTTGACTGAGGCAAATATATATATTTAAACATATCTCCCCCAAAATGGGTGCCCCCAGGGCATGTATCTCCAAAGTCTGGTTTTTTCTGAACTCTGCATCTCAGTAGCTACTTGTGTACTAAGTTCCAAATTTCCACCCTCTGTAGAACATGGATAGAATTAGCGTCAGTCACTCAGTCACTCAATCACGACCGTCTATATGCATTAGGCACTTAACAATGATAGGTATTCTAGAAATAAATGCTCCCACACAGTGTTCTTCCCATTTCTATCAGCAAACTTAGTGTCATTAGGTTATGTTCCATTCCCATAGATAGTAAGAGAAAATGACATATTGCGATCGCTCTGTCACTTTTTTATTTAAATTTTTCTTTTAAGTTATCATTACGTCTGTCAGCAGTATCCATAGCAACTGGACAACACGACTCACACCGCATGTGCAGCTTTCCGCCTGGTTCGGGGTGTCCGTCTACGACTGAAACATCCACTTCCTTTCCAGCCTCGCGGATGACGGATCCGTAGAGGAGAATAGGAAAATGGTGCTGCTCGTGGCCACGTAGACAGGGTTGCTAGGCGTACGCAGGAAATGCTGTATCTGGCATCCTACACTTCATATTCTCCGAACATAGACCGGACACTCTTTGTCCTCGTCAACCTATCGACACGCGAAGTGGAGTTGGAACGTAGAAGTGAATTCCACCCTTCTAGCAGTATTTCCCCAACAACGGAACTTTTCACACTCTTGTCATATTTTCGTGTGTCACCGCTTCATTTGTCCACAGAGTTCTATCAGCTGAATAGGACGGTAGATTTGTTAATACCGAATTAACATGTCGATTTTTGCTATAAGTCGTCCTAAGCTTTCCCTACTCCTGACTTTAACTCTGCAAGCCACAACACACAATTAGCCATTGAAGCTACTTTTTCTGAACATCAGAGTTGCCACAAGATAAAAAATCCTACTCGTCCGTGTTTCAGATCAAAAACTTTTCAGCATGCGTCCTTCTAAAACACAAAACGGTTTTGTGTCTCTCCTTGGGAAAAACTTATTGGCTATTAAAGCCCCTGAAGAACTTTATAAACACCTTGAACATTTGACATGGGCCCAAAAGTGATCCAAGGTCTCGCTCACATTTCTTGCAGCCAAACCACACATTTTAACATTAGAATTATTCATAAATGAATAACTCCAACTTTCGAGTCTCGTGGATAGCCCTTTATATTCCAAGGGATTATTATGGAAAGGCCTTTTTTTTTCTTTCTCAGTGGCCTTCAACGCGCCCGAAAATATTACCGTTGGGTGGTTTGCCCCAACCGCATGGTTTGCATTAGGGTTCCCCTTCCTCAAACCGAGTCGGAGTACACTGCTGTGATGAACTGGCTCAAATTGATGCGATCCACGGAGGGTGAGAAAAGCAGGCTACTTACCATCGGGCAAACGATGCAAAGTCTCCTGGTGAGACACGCTGAATGCTGGAGACAGGTGAGAGTGAGAATAGCGTCCAGGTTTGTGCATCTCCAGCGCCTCGTCGCATTCTTCAAAAACGAAGTCTAATGACATATCGACAGGGCTGGGCACCGGGCTCGGATATAACTCCCACTACATTTCATGACATAAAAAAAGTCATACCGTGTGACAATATTTCAGGTCTAGGCTACCAGCTTGACACCAAAGCCGCACATCTCACGATTGAAACACCAATGATGGCATGCCAACGCTGATACTTTGCAACTGTGCAAGAATCGTACGACTCGGACGAGAAGAAACACCCCTTCGTACCCTCGCACAGGAACAAAAATGCGCTTTCAGGCATATATAAATGGAACATTCTTTTTCCATGCCAACACTACACTCTTCGAGAGGGCAACTGTCTACTCAAATTAATGAGGAATTGGTGACTAAGGGCAACTAGCAGCGAGAACATTTGATGAGATTTCAGAAGCTTTACTGAATGTAGAGTAAATGTTATACATGCAAACGATAATATTTCAGCAAATTCACTATTCAGCGAATGAACATAAATCATTAGTTACTGAACATTGTAGAGTACATTGGATTGTCTGAATACGGCCCCTTCCAATTACCTGTAATTATGATATATTCGTGACGAAGCACAGCGATGGCAATAAAACCTGATAATAACTTGATCCTGGTACCTCTTGCATAGCCAATACAATTCTACCGAGAGCTGAGTGACATGGATGAAACTAGCACGAAGAGTGGATTTTAAAATGGAGGTCTTTTCCATAATTTACACATTAGGCTTACATATAATATAAGGGGGTATATTGACACCGACAATCGAGTTCAGGTCTCCAGTACAGATATGCTAATTTCCTTCCCTCGATTTTCATTATCTTCATGTGCCAGCATAAGGAAAGCTAAAATGCGACCAAAAGGTCATTTTTCTTCCAAAGCTGCGGGTTTCCGCTACGTCAGTCGCAGCTCGGCTGGGACACTTCTATGTGTCCCAGCCGAGCTCTTATTAAAAGGATAATTAACACTTTCAAGTTGGACAGTTTGAATGCGCTATGAGAGTAGGACGATGAGTATAAATCTAAAAGTGTAATTCTCAATAGGGAATCATCCTGCAATGCCAACATAAACTTTCCATCGATTAGTCTTTAAAATATTTATAATGACATTTTATGGGTTTTACCATGTTTCAAACTGCCCACCATCCGCCTGGTCTACATTGAGGTGAACCTTACCGCAAGTGTTTTTGGAAGCGTCTTCTGATGATTCTGAATGCTGCAGCATTGAATAATGAAAAATTAACGAGAATAATCAAATTATAACAGCTTTACGCCATGAAAACGAAGTAAAACGCAAAACAAATGTCACGAAAGTTGTTCCACGTTCATCCTTTCGAAGCAAGAGGGGCTCACATCTCGTCTAGCACAAGGGGAAGCGGGACGACCATCCCGTGGGGCGCTTGGGCCACGAGAGCCTCCGCCGTCCGAGGACCGCCATTTCCCCTTTAACGTTTCGTCACCTCAGTTCCACAAGGTTCTCTCTGATGTTTTCAAATAAAAACTGAGTCGACTGCATGGCAATTGACTCAGTTGACTCGGTGGGAGTCGACAAATCGACATGAAAATCAATTCCACGCGTCATGTTCCTCTTGCGTTGAACATTAACCAGGCAACGCCTGAAGTGGAAAATGCTAAAAGTTTCTCAAGAAGGCTTTAGAGGGAGCCGAATTTCGAATTGAAATTGTTTGATTTACAAGATTTTCGGATGAAATCTTGTTGAACTGATGAGAAGATACACTACATCACTTTACCGTTAAATATGTTAAACTCTTAGCCTATTGTCGGAGTTGGAGTTTTTTAATTTACCTTATTTCATCGCACCGATAACCCATAGTTTCCCTGACATTTTTCACCAGCAAAAGCTTAAAAAAATCCTACTTATTTTAGAGTCAGCCGAGAAACTTCTAAAAGCAAAACTCTTTTTTCCTGTTCCAATACTACCTATATCACTACCAGTACGCCACGTTTAACTCCTTTCTGCATACAGGGTCAAATACCATCAAATGCATCAAATAGTTTTTGCGAGATGTTAGAGCTATTTCAACTAAGAGCATAATGTGGTGTATTAGATACAAAGCTCCCAACCTGCCCGTAACGTGCAGCCACCACCAGTTCACCACCTGAGCGAAACACTACTTCTGCTGCATATAATTTTGCACACAATTTTTTTTCATGTCAAAAGAAAAATTCATGCGATAAGGGGTTAACCATTCAATTCTTCATCGTTCCAGAGATTTTTTGGAACATACGTACGGGAACATCTATTCACGCTATAGAAAAGTATGCCTTTCCGGTCACGCTGTATCGTAGCAAATTGGTCGTTAGTTCTTATAGGGGAACAAATCCCATATAAACTCATCTTCAAAACAATATCATAAAAGAATTGTAGGGTGGATTTTTGAACAGAACATTATCCGATAATGCAGCTTTATTTCAGAGAAAATGCATTATAAATCCGGTAAATAAAGCAGCATTATCGGATAGTGCTCTGTTCAAAAATCCACCCGTAGAATCTCAACTTTTTTGGCTTGTCATCTAAGAAACTCCAAAAATCTTCATACCTGCATTCTTAAAAGGCCCGCAATGGAGACATTACTTCAGTAGTCCTTTGGCCACCACAAAATCAGATTCGTTTCAAAGAAAACCAGACCCTGAGAAAGCACACAAGATTTCTTAACTTGGGGGCACATCGCTAAAGTAAGACTTTTCAAGAAAAGAAGAAAAATCTTCTCATCCGCGTCATCGCCTTCAGCAACGGCAGCAGGAGTGAGCAGAGGCCCAGCATCCTCCCGTGAGGACCGCGGCGGCACGTTTACGTCCCATCTGCATGCACTCCGTCGCGCCTGACTCGCTGAACCAGCTGCACGTGGGAACATTCCCTCCAGAAAGGCGGAGACCATCTTTCTTGCAGAGGTAAATGCAGTCGGAAACCTGCTCGCGATCACTCTAAATGAAGTCAATTAGCAACGCCACTATTCTTTTTTATTTTCAAGTGTGCCAGTTTAACAATGCACCCTTAGTTTCCCACGTCCAATTCCCTCACCTGTTACATTTCCACAACTTTCCCCATAGAATATGATGGAATAAGTCCTTATGCGGTTATACCGTCCTACTACGATACTACTTCATTGGACTCGGACACCTCAAGCATGTCTATTTGTTTCGATGCCCCAGTCCTTTGAGCATCAGCAGCGCTGAGACAAAGAGTGCCGCAGAATCGTATTGGATCATGAAGTAGGCTTCAGGCTCCCTTTGCCCCTCTCCCATTGCTACTCTACCTCTTCCAGTGGCCCGGTTTTATGTCACAAGAGAGAGAGAGAGCAATGAAATGCAGGAAGTGAAAAAAAAAGAGTTGAATCTATGAGAAAGTAAAAAAAAAAGAGTTGAGAAAGTAGTCCATCGTCTATGAGGAAGTGAAAAAAAAGAGTTGAGAAAGTAGTCCATCGTCTATGAGGGAGTGAAAAAAAAGTTGCGAAAGTAGTCCAAACAAGATTTTGCACAGATTTATCCAGAGAAACACAGCAGAATTCTCCAGGTCACCGTTGCCATCGCTCTTCTACTGTTCCCTCTTGCAGTAAACAGCAAGTTGGAAGGCATATTCCACAGAAGATAATGGGAACTGACGAGATAACGAATTCGAGCATGGAAGGCAGGGAGATAGCGATACCCAGAATCAGTGACAACTCCCGTACTTTCAGCATATACAGTACAGTAGCTATGGATGCGCCTGACCACGTTAGCAAAGGGTTTCAAGAAAAATATAAAAAATAAAGCCTCCAGAAGGTACGACTGAAATTGGGCTATTTTGGGGCTACCGTTCTAGAGCAAGGATTCGTCAGCCCAAAAATATTAAGAAGGATCATAATAGCCAAGGACTATGAAGAACAAGGTTCTGCTATGCAGCTTATGTAACCGAAGGCCTAGTTCATACTCCTGCCGCACTGCATTGTAACTCATGCCGGACGCTCGATGCAGTTCGCAGCAGCAGTCCATAAACAGACTGCAAATCTGCACGCTGCATCTAGCATTGCATCTGCTGCACTGTATGCTCTAATGCATCCTTAAAAAATATTCGAATGGTTTCTATTCAATTCAACATGTTGTACAGCACGAACTTTTTGCCGGACAATATGCTGCATCCATCTGTTGTACAGCATATTTCTTGATGTATTGTAAGATTTTAGTACAGCAGCTGGACTGGATCTGAACTGGTCAGGATTCTGCAGTACAGCAAGCTGTTACAGCGTCCAACATGCTCATAAGTGTAGCGTGGATGGAAAAAGTGAGTGGGGGAGGGGGTGGGGGCACGGAACAAAGTGGGAGGGAGGAGAGGAGGGGCCACGGTAACTCTGGGATACTCTTATACATTTCGTGGATTTTTTTCTTCTTTTATTTGGCTACTTTTCTTGAAAGTGAGTGGGCACTTGCCCCCCCCCCCCCCCCTAACGCTACGCCGCTGAACATGCTGCACAACAGGAGTATGAACCGGTCTAACAGCTCTAAGAGGAAGAACAATTTCTCTAGTAAACAGAGACGTAGGTGAAGAGCTGATGTCCCTAAATAATAATTCTCAGGACACCCCTGTCATTGTTGACAGTTAGCAATGGCGTTTTGGCCAGTATTTGCACCATTATCTTGGGTGACAATTGTGAAACACATTGTTTAAAAAATAAACCGGTTTTCAAGGTTTCGCTTCGTAAGTCGTGCGGGTAACGTTATTGAAAACGCTACCTTCAGCAACATTGGTCAATAATTGAGAGATTTATGGAATCTATATAGACTGACAGCTAGATCCACTTTAGCAGCTAATATTGCACAAATCTTAAAACTGTTACCTTTCGAAATATAGAAGAGGCATGGAAATAATGAATAAATAAATGTTGGCTTGCAGCTAGGTCATATCTTGTCCCCTACATAGAATTACCACTTAAAAGGCCACCTTTCTTAACCCCGGAACTGCTAGAACCAGCACGACGGCCCACCAACGTCGATTTTATCGACGGTTTTCACTTAATTTCTCACTTTCTTTGTTCCGTCATGCGGGGGAGGGTGCAGATGTTACTTCAGAGAGTACTATCTTTCTTATACGGCTCTTTGGTGAGGTCTTAATTCTTCCCGGCAAGATAATTATCGGAAAAAAAGTTCACTCACAAACGTAATTCCTATATCATCTAAAATTGACGAGTCCGAAAATA